AGTTCATAAAGCAGGACTCACATGCTTTCTTTTAGGCAACAAATTAGACTGGCTAACATTAGCAGAGCAGGAAGGAGTGAAGATGCTGTATGGATCAATGTTTCCAAGTTCTTTGGCTGCAATGTCCTCCATCTTATCACAAGCGACTGAGCTATGGATAAATGATTCAAAATCACACAAAAGATTAAGTTTCTTGTATGTTTGGTCAGAAATCAAGCCAGCTGCCCACATAAATTGGAAAAGTCCCAAATGGTCATGATAATCATCAGTCAGTGCATTTCCAACCTGTACCAGACGTTAAACTTGCTCTTTTAATTATTTCAAATGGTGCAAAATGACCAAAAATCTTGGTTATTACATGAATAGTTGTTTGGATGTACCATATAACTCCTCAGATTAATTTTCTCATCCTTTGTCACTTGGTTGTACCGTACAATGGCTTGACTCAGCTGAGGAACATAATGCCCTGGAACACAAATTAAAAATTAGAACCGCAATTCAGCACATACAAGCATCACAAATCAGAAGAATAGCTAAGTTCATTTAATAAACACGTCATCTTGTCAAATAAAGAAAGTGAGAAGACAAAGCTACAACTGTTATTCCTAGTGCATTTTAACTTTTTTGTTTAACCGATAACTTTCCACAAGGTGAATATCTTAGGCCACCAAAACAAATTGCAAATCAACAGATTTGTGAGTTCAAGAGGTCTACCTAAAAGCCATTCCAAAGAAGGTGGTAAAACTCAAGTAAGGCATCTGTACTCTGTAGTTCCTCTACATAGTAGCACAGTGCAGGTTGGTTGACAACATTCAAATAAAATTAGTCTGGCAACGACTGAAAAGATTCTCTTTCATCTACTATGGCCCCTCCGAGTTTTAATTACAGTGACCAGAAACCTCACCCTTAACTTTAAGGCTATGCCATCCTAAGGTGGCTTCTAAATGGAAAGCATTCTATGCTTGTTACTCATCAAATACTTCTATTCAGAAACTTTTCCGGACAAATACTGACGAAAACTTTAGCCAAGAACAGAAGGTAAAGAAAAAGGGCCCACATATCAGGTGGCTAGAAAAATGAAGCTAGGGTAAACAGTTCATTCCATCTATGTCATCCATCAAAAACTGAAGTTCGGTACAAAATTTAAAAAGAAAAGGAAATTGAAATCAAACACTACCTGCATAGCTCTCCCCTGTAATGTAGAAGTCCCTTCCTTTGTATTGGGGGAAGCGTTCAAACCAATTCAGCAAGAAAGCTAGTGAGTCCGCAGCTGCAGATTGAAGTGTGGAAAGGTGTAAATACACAAGCTAGTAACAACGAGAAGAGCCCCAACAAAGAAGTATGAGACAAGAATGGTTGAACTAGTACCGGTCTTTTTATCACCATTGTTCAACAGATCAGAAGAAGTGTTTGAATATGAATATCCAACTCCAGCCGGGGAATCAAGAAACAGAATATTGGCCACTGCAAATTGGTATAAGTACTTAAACAAGATTGAATCGATGTAATTATAAGAAATTATTGCGGTTTCGCATTCTTGAAATCTAAAGCAAGATATCGTGCAATTACTCCCAGGTGATCAACAGTAGTAAATAAGTTGCAACATCCATTTTTAGATATTATTATGATCCTAATAGCCATCACATTATCAGTTGTAGGAAATAAACATATGTTAGAGGTAAAATGAGGCACAAAAATGTCGGGGGGTCTCCAAGGATAGGTATGCGGGTAGCTTAAAAAGCAGCTGATAGAATTCAATATGTGTTTCGAAATACAAATATGATGATATAGTTCAGATTTTAAGCAAAAATAACTAATTGAATGATGAGTCAATGATGCAATAATTCTAATTTTTCAGTGACAGCACATGGTTCCACGGCTCATGGATTCATCCAACTGATTGTTCATTAATTGTTCTTTATAGCAATAAGCTTTACAACAATTGCTTTGACGGGCAACTCTAGTATATAATTTTATTTTATTTTTTTAATAATTAAATAATTGTATTACCTTGATTCCAAGAATAAGGATTCAAGTAAAGGGTCTTTCCATCTGGCTTAATATGAAATGGTCCTATTTCCTCTGCCATTCCATAAGCAATGGAGGAACATCCAGGTCCTGCAAGAACAAATCTCCAGTAAGAAACCAATTCAAGAAATTGTATTCTATTAGAGATTATCAATTAATGAACAAACTATCAACTTTCAATGGCCCGAAAACAAAGAAAGATTAATCTAAGGAAAAAAAAACTCAGTCAAATATCTAATTCAGAAAACAAAGATGGGAGAATATCAAAAAGTAGGGGCTAATACAGTAACAATCATAGGTGACAAAGAATATAATCGGTTGTATATCTAAAGTCAAAGTTGGATTTTTAAACAATTAAGCCACACAACTAATGAATCAGCAAAAGCAAGAGAATATTAACAACTTAGATGCAAAATCAAGACTAACTAGAGTGATATGATAACCACACATGAAGCGAACCAAATAATAAAAGGAAAGGAAAAGGTGTGACACCTCCATTAAGCCGAAGAAGAAGAGGCTTGGATTGAGGATCCTCGACAGCTTCAACAAACCAGTAAAAAAGAGCCCTCCCATATTTTTCGTTGACAGTGACATAGCCAGAGTAGTGAGCAAAATTTACATCGAAGTTCTGGCCAGGCAACTTCAGGACCCTGTCTAGATGTTGCTGGGCAACTGGGTCTCGTAAAGACGAAGCAAAGACACCCAAATAGAGATTGACGAAAATGATGAGAGTAGTTGCTATAGAGAATTCAAAAGAACCAAATGGAAATCTGGGATCGGGCATTTCTTGCTTGGAAAGAAGAACTACCTCCTGCACTGGTTGATGGTATACAAGGAAGAATTAGCAAGCTGGGATGGGTCAATGATGGGTATAGGGGGCCTGGCCCGCCCGTTCTGACACCAGCGCGAGGGAATGCTTGCGCTCGCTTTCTTTTTATTCTTTTTCTCAGAAAGAAATGGTAGGCAGGTACGATGGATGTTTTTATTGCGTTGGTGTGCATTAAACAATCATGTCCTTCTGTTTTCCTCTTTGGAAAGTTGCAATATCAAGGATATTGCCGCCATAGTTGACGAAGCAAAAAGGTGACCCAAGGATATTGTTACCCTCGGCACCATAAATAGATAAATTCAATTAAGTTGAATTCAGCTAAGTTAACATTCGTTAAGAATACAGCATGGAGATGTTGATTATTAAAAAAAAAAATATACAAATTAGTGAAAGTGTTTGTGACAGCGAAACTGGGATTTTCCTTTTCTTTTTAATTTGCGAGTGAAACCAGATGAAGATACGAGTAAGAGTTTAACAAATAAAATCAATCAAGATGAGAAAGTCCATATCCTCCAATTTTATACTTTAACTGCAAAAAAAATTGAGTTAGATTTACAATTTTCATCAATATAATCTTCTTATAGAACATTCATTCTGTATCAAAACAAGAACAGGATTGAATAAATAATTTTTTTATATAATTTAATATTGTTTTTTAACATATTTATTACACTCTTTCTCTATAATAATACTAACTTCGGCATTCAATTCTTCATATGAAGAAGAAGTTACCCAGTAAAACCAAGATGACGAGCAAAGATTCGATCAAATAGTTGATCGGAATCTAAAGGGAGATCCAAGAGCTTTTCTATGATATCCTAGTCACTAGGACATCAGCCACCAAGATTATATCATTATCTTCAATGAAATTTTGCAGGAAATCCCTCTCCTCCAATAAGGGTAGCACAGGAGGAACTTCAAAGTAAATCCTTTAATTTTTTTTTAATTTTTTTTTGTATTTAGATTGCTTCAATGTTTAAATATCAAAAATAAATTTTAAAAAATAAAAAATATTATTTTAGTATAGTTTTAAATCAATAATATTTAAAAAACAATCTTTATTATAATAATAAACAGGATGGAGTTATCTTTGTTTGAAAAATTGTTTGAAACTGTACAAATGGAGAATTTTAAAAAACAATTATTATTATAATAATAAACGGGCTCATTCATTTATGCTAAGAAAAACAACAAAGACGGAAAATTAAGAAAATTAGTTAATGGAGTTATATTTGTTCAGATTGTGCAAGTGCAGAATTGAAGATGAACTTAAGGACAACTTGCGTATGGAAAATCTACTTTGAGCGACGAAAATCTTCAAGGTCAAAACGAAAGAGAGGTTTTAACACACAAATCCATCGAACCTTGAGAAAAATGAGAGGATTTCACTCTATGACGCCATACTTCTTCAGAATTTCTTGCCTCCAAAAAATAATTTTAATATCAACATATCAAACAATTTAAAATAATAAAAAAATTAATTTTAAATAAAAAATTAAAGTTTAGAAACTATAATTTTAATTAGCATTTTAAGCTGCAAATATTTATAATAAATTCCTTGAGATGTTAGAGATAATTAAATTTGATTAATATATATATATATAAAGAGATAAAAACATGTTTTTGTTAAAATAAACTTTCTTTATTCTTTTTGGCACTTTTTGGCAGAAAAACAAAAAGATAAATAAAAATAAAAAATTTTAAAAATAAATTTTTTTCTTAAAAAAAAAAATTCAACAAACTTTGAACGGGTAAACACCTTTTATTTTTAATGAAATCTTACGAGCTGAGTTCTATAGCATTAGCTGCAACTCATAGCAATTTGTATAATGGATCTGTTTCACGATTGAAAAATAGGAATCAGCTTTCAAGGTTTGTTGCTTGCTAGTAATCCAAGGTAGCCGTTTGTTGCTTTCACCGTGATTTGGCTCTCTGTCATCCTTGTTTGGCTTTAATTCTTCTGTTATCTCAGCTGCTGGATAGGAGGTCAAGCATACTTTTATGGGAGGGTAATGGTTGTGCTGACGCCATGGCCAGATTGGGAGCTTCTCAGAGTGACCCGGTTGATTATCTGGGACACGTATTTGCATACTATTCTACTTTGATCTTCCTTTCTATCCAATGCACCAAAAGAAGAAGATAAATAAAAAAAGGTTCCATGACATTGAAACAACAGTAGCGAAATGGAGGTAGCAACATGCAGGCATAATTAAGATCGAATTTTTAACGCTTCATCTCCAATTCAAGTGAATCATCCAAATAAACTTTTATTTTGATGGATTTGAACTTGGTCCCTTCTCTTTGGAGGAGAAAGTTGTTAATAACATTAATCCACACCCTGGTCGCAGATTATCTTGGATTTCGACATCCCCTGGAATTACGTTGGATCGTGGAATTAACCGCCAAAAGGGCACGGCGACATCAAGAGTCGCTGACTAGTTGAAGGGTTGGCATTGGAGTTCCTGATAAGAAGGCTTTGACGAGTGTGAGAGCTTGTTTGGGTTTATGCAGTGGCACTTCATGGCCTGCTCCTCTCACCACAACGAAGGTAAGTCCGGCATACTCTTGGGTCCATCCTCCCACCTGTTTGACAAAAAATGCTCCTTAATAAAAGTTTATTGGCAACTTGGAACAAAGTTCGTGAATGCCTCTTAGTTAACGAATTCTCTTGCATGGAATCCCATCAAGTGATTTACCTGTCCATCATCATACCAGGCACCCCAAGGTTTGACAGTAGGAAGTTTCAGAGCATCTATGCTGTAGCGGGTGGATGTAACTGGGATGACGGCATCTGTATCACCACTGTTGCAAAAGGAGGGGGGGAAATTACAACTAGGATTGACACAAAAAAATAAAATTGAACCAGTTTGTTGAACAGGTTAAAACAGTAGCAAGGAAAACAACTGTCAGCACCCTAAGTTGCCATTTTGTTGATCTAGTCATTTTGGCATGCCAAGGACGATAGCAAGAATATATCAGTTAGGAATTTGCTGAGAAATGCTTGAATATATTCTGTTTCATGATATCTCCTGACATGAAGGAGATCATATTGATCTTGTTTGGTCTGAGGTCCTCCAGATATTTCTGTATTAAGGATATGTTTGATAAACTTTTGAAGAGTGGGGTAAAGGATTTTTTAAGGGGAGGGAATGTTGGACTTCCACCTCTTACTTCTGGACTCGCAAATACTCTTGAACACTTCACCCTTGATGATATTTTACACCTGTAATACTTCATCACTAAATCTTACCCTCTTAACATTTCCCCTCTAAATTTTTAACCTTGCACAAAACACAATCTAAAAGGGAAATGCTAGCTACACATAGAACAACACTGCAGCAGTAAATATATAGAATGCTTTCACAGAGATGCCTGAACATCTAAAAGGGAAATGCTAGCTACACATAGAACAACACTGCAGCAGTAAATGTATAGAATGCTTTCACAGAGATACCTGAACACCCACAAATGAAGTCCTGAACGTATGAGCTCTTTATAAATGTCCAGCACTGTCCTAGGAGAATCCTTCCAGTTAATATTTACCACTTCACTGCAAAATAAATAGATGGAATGTTACTAGGGCATGCATTTAGGGTACTTCAATCAAGGTAGTCAAAGTACACAAAATGAGGGAGGGTGAAAGACAATATTAGATAACTCAGTCAAACATCATACAGGAGGTATAATTTACAATTGAAATTTTGATATTATGCAACCTAGAAATAAATAGTTCCAATTTATGCACTTGGTCAGAATGCCAAACTTTCCCAATTAAACAATTTTAATACAAATACTTTTTGTCAACTCTTGTGTGATCAAGCTGTTATGCTGTAAACCAACATCGAATCACAATAAGGATCTATTTATTTTTGGGCTCACATTAATCTACAACTAAACAGGGGTCCAGCTAACCATAACAAAAATGCACATCTGCCTCAGAAATATTACAATTACAATAAAACTAAAAAAGTTAATGCCTGTGAAATTTTGTAAACATGGAAAATACATGTACGCCATATGTTGATAGTTATCACAAACCTACAAAAATCAATGTTAGATGATGTGGGCATGTTGCTCCCCTAATATCTGTGCAAATAAGTAGGGGAATCCAATCCTTGGCCAGAAAATAATGGCTCTGAAACCAATGTTCTTCCAAGTACAAGCTTAAGATGCCAAGATAAAATCAGAACTAATGCTTTTTCAAAAGTTAATTGAACAGATATACCTGCAGGTCTCCCATCTAGCTGGTGCAAACTCTGGTGAAACATGTAATGCCTTCTGAACTTCAGGTAGATTGAAATATACAGTCGAATGTGTCTCAGTACAGGGATCATACTTCTCACTGACACGACCAACCCTCTATCACAAGACAATAAATTTCATTTAAGCTGTGAGGAAATCATATAAAGGATTAGTTCGTAAAGGAGTCCTATTTAAAAATGGTCTCAAACTTTGATTTCCAATGAGTTTTGTTTACTCTTCATGTGGAAAGGGAAACCAGAATTAATGGAAGTTCTATGATAGATTAATTCAAATTTGAAAAAACAGAACAATATATCAGATACTCAAACCTAACCTGAATGTAAATGTTCCCCAGGTCCTTTAGAAAAGAATATATTTCAGATCCTCATGTTTGTGTTATTAATACATAAACCAAATGCAAAGGAATCTAAGACCAAGAAAATGAGTCCTGTACTTGCATTTATTAGATCAGATGGAGTAGGCATTTAGTTGACATGTAAAAGTTCATGGAGAAGTCGTGAAACAAGCATGCATTGTGAAATTTGAAGTAAGGACAGAGAAACAGTCGATTTAAACATTTTTAATCTGCCTCGGAATAAAAGCCAGGCAAAATAAGATAATCTAGTGAAAATAAAAAAAGACTAGCTAACGCAGGGAAAGTTTTGATATCTCATGGAATTGTAAATGCATCCATAGACTTGGTGAACTTCTCATTTCCTTGCAAAAATGCTAAAACACATCCTAAAAAAAGTCAAGGGATCGACAAAATGACATAAGATGCACACACTTTTGTAGCACATTCAATAAGTTTTAATACCAACAATATAGGTAAGCAACATCTCTAAGGAATGACAATCAACAAGCTAGATTAAATCTAGCACATTCATTGAAAGGTAAGCTTGTTATGTCCAAGGGCAAATAAATAAAAGTGTTCCCAGAGAATGCAGTATAGCTGAGGATCCAATGAAGTGGATATTATATACATACTGCAAAAACCTCCCCTGAAAGAGAAAAGAGTGGAGAAAAAATCAGAATCCCATGTTTGTGGATTCATCAACTATTCCCTGCCAAAAGCTCATTCATCAAATTTGTTGCACACTTAATTTGTAACAAGCTTCTTGGGGAAAATTAATCCCCCAAGTCTAGGCCCCACCCCTCCACTACAAACACCGCTGATATCAGCACCCGCATTCATCCACATGCACACTTGCACAAATATATAGAGAAGGGGATCAAAAACTTCTCATGAACCAAGGTCTTTGAAAAGAGCCCATTCCAACATTGCAAGAACTGGTTATCTGAGATCAGGAACCAGTAGACAGATTGATATTATCCATACAACGCATTTTAGATGACAAATCACAGGAAGAAGAAAAAAAGATATAGTTAGTAATCAGTTCATAAAGCAGGACTCACATGCTTTCTTTTAGGCAACAAATTAGACTGGCTAACATTAGCAGAGCAGGAAGGAGTGAAGATGCTGTATGGATCAATGTTTCCAAGTTCTTTGGCTGCAATGTCCTCCATCTTATCACAAGCGACTGAGCTATGGATAAATGATTCAAAATCACACAAAAGATTAAGTTTCTTGTATGTTTGGTCAGAAATCAAGCCAGCTGCCCACATAAATTGGAAAAGTCCCAAATGGTCATGATAATCATCAGTCAGTGCATTTCCAACCTGTACCAGACGTTAAACTTGCTCTTTTAATTATTTCAAATGGTGCAAAATGACCAAAAATCTTGGTTATTACATGAATAGTTGTTTGGATGTACCATATAACTCCTCAGATTAATTTTCTCATCCTTTGTCACTTGGTTGTACCGTACAATGGCTTGACTCAGCTGAGGAACATAATGCCCTGGAACACAAATTAAAAATTAGAACCGCAATTCAGCACATACAAGCATCACAAATCAGAAGAATAGCTAAGTTCATTTAATAAACACGTCATCTTGTCAAATAAAGAAAGTGAGAAGACAAAGCTACAACTGTTATTCCTAGTGCATTTTAACTTTTTTGTTTAACCGATAACTTTCCACAAGGTGAATATCTTAGGCCACCAAAACAAATTGCAAATCAACAGATTTGTGAGTTCAAGAGGTCTACCTAAAAGCCATTCCAAAGAAGGTGGTAAAACTCAAGTAAGGCATCTGTACTCTGTAGTTCCTCTACATAGTAGCACAGTGCAGGTTGGTTGACAACATTCAAATAAAATTAGTCTGGCAACGACTGAAAAGATTCTCTTTCATCTACTATGGCCCCTCCGAGTTTTAATTACAGTGACCAGAAACCTCACCCTTAACTTTAAGGCTATGCCATCCCAAGGTGGCTTCTAAATGGAAAGCATTCTATGCTTGTTACTCATCAAATACTTCTATTCAGAAACTTTTCCGGACAAATACTGACGAAAACTTTAGCCAAGAACAGAAGGTAAAGAAAAAGGGCCCACATATCAGGTGGCTAGAAAAATGAAGCTAGGGTAAACAGTTCATTCCATCTATGTCATCCATCAAAAACTGAAGTTCGGTACAAAATTTAAAAAGAAAAGGAAATTGAAATCAAACACTACCTGCATAGCTCTCCCCTGTAATGTAGAAGTCCCTTCCTTTGTATTGGGGGAAGCGTTCAAACCAATTCAGCAAGAAAGCTAGTGAGTCCGCAGCTGCAGATTGAAGTGTGGAAAGGTGTAAATACACAAGCTAGTAACAACGAGAAGAGCCCCAACAAAGAAGTATGAGACAAGAATGGTTGAACTAGTACCGGTCTTTTTATCACCATTGTTCAACAGATCAGAAGAAGTGTTTGAATATGAATATCCAACTCCAGCCGGGGAATCAAGAAACAAAATATTGGCCACTGCAAATTGGTATAAGTACTTAAACAAGATTGAATCGATGTAATTATAAGAAATTATTGCGGTTTCGCATTCTTGAAATCTAAAGCAAGATATCGTGCAATTACTCCCAGGTGATCAACAGTAGTAAATAAGTTGCAACATCCATTTTTAGATATTATTATGATCCTAATAGCCATCACATTATCAGTTGTAGGAAATAAACATATGTTAGAGGTAAAATGAGGCACAAAAATGTCGGGGGGTCTCCAAGGATAGGTATGCGGGTAGCTTAAAAAGCAGCTGATAGAATTCAATATGTGTTTCGAAATACAAATATGATGATATAGTTCAGATTTTAAGCAAAAATAACTAATTGAATGATGAGTCAATGATGCAATAATTCTAATTTTTCAGTGACAGCACATGGTTCCACGGCTCATGGATTCATCCAACTGATTGTTCATTAATTGTTCTTTATAGCAATAAGCTTTACAACAATTGCTTTGACGGGCAACTCTAGTATATAATTTTATTTTATTTTTTTAATAATTAAATAATTGTATTACCTTGATTCCAAGAATAAGGATTCAAGTAAAGGGTCTTTCCATCTGGCTTAATATGAAATGGTCCTATTTCCTCTGCCATTCCATAAGCAATGGAGGAACATCCAGGTCCTGCAAGAACAAATCTCCAGTAAGAAACCAATTCAAGAAATTGTATTCTATTAGAGATTATCAATTAATGAACAAACTATCAACTTTCAATGGCCCGAAAACAAAGAAAGATTAATCTAAGGAAAAAAAAACTCAGTCAAATATCTAATTCAGAAAACAAAGATGGGAGAATATCAAAAAGTAGGGGCTAATACAGTAACAATCATAGGTGACAAAGAATATAATCGGTTGTATATCTAAAGTCAAAGTTGGATTTTTAAACAATTAAGCCACACAACTAATGAATCAGCAAAAGCAAGAGAATATTAACAACTTAGATGCAAAATCAAGACTAACTAGAGTGATATGATAACCACACATGAAGCGAACCAAA